AGATAATCATTTTTTTTACTTTAGTCAAAAATGTACTGAATTACATTGATTTTTTTTTAGTAGAGGTTTGAAAATGTTATGATATTATTGTGTTCTTGGAGTAAACCCAACTTGATCATAGTGTATCATCTTTTTATTTGTCACTATATTGGATTTGCTAGTTGTTTTTAGTAGTTCCGCAGTTATGTTCATGAGAGTTACGTGGTCTGAAATTTTCCTTCTTGCAATATCTGTGTCAGGTTTTGGATTCAAACTTATGCTAGCCTTGTAACACAAGTTAAGATGTGTTCCATCTTTTCCTATTCTTTGGAAGAGGGTTTGTATGTTTATTTGTTTTAACACTGGTGTTATTTGGTTTTTAAACATTTGAACATAAACGAAGTCATCTAGCCTAGTATTTTCTTTGTAGGATGGTTTTTAATTGTGGACTCAGTTTCTTTAATAGATACGTAAGTATTCAGATTTTCTATTTCTTCTTATGTCAGTTCTGGTAAGTCATGTTTTTCAATGAATTTGTCCATTTTATCCAAATTTTCAACTTTAGATAGTTTGTATAATAGAGTCCTGAATACTCCAGAGGACTTTTCATCCTCAATATTGGTGATTTGTGTTTTCTTTCTCTTTTTTCTTAATCATTCTTCTTAGAAGTCATCAATGTTATATATTTTGAAGAACCATATTTTTGCTTTGTTAATTTTCCATTTTATTTCTGTTTTGTTTTTATCGTCTCTCATAATCTGTTCTTATCTTGATTATTTTCTTCCTTTTAGATTCTTAGGTTCATTGCTGGTTCTTTTTCTAGCTTCTTAAAATAGATCTTACGACATTGATTCTCAACTTTTCTTTTGCACAGTGTCTACACTGAAAGCTCTAAATTTCCCTTAAGTCACTACTTTAGCTACATTCTAGTTATGTTGTTATGACATATTCTTATCCCATCTGCTTCAATTTACTTTTATTGGTTTTCAGAAAGGTATTACATAATTTCTAATGATTTTGAGATTTTCTAGTTATATTTTATATTGTTGCTTTTCAGCTTAATCTCACTATTGTCAGAAGACATACTATGATTGACTTCAGTTGTTTCCTTTTGGTTTGGCATAGCACCAATTTAGTAAATATTCAACATGCTCCAGAAAAGGATGTATTTTCTCTGGTTGTTCTCAGCTTGTTGGCAGTCAGGGGACTTGGGAACTCTTCACTCAGAATGATAAACATTTCAGGAGCTCTGTGTCAGGAACTGGAATCAAAGACCAAATATTGGTGGGAATGAGGGACAGAGACCAAATTATATATTTCTTATTATTTCACACTATCCTACATTAAATAGTTGATTATCTTTTAAAGAAGTTAAAAACCAAAAGGGAAATTATTTTATATTACTCTTTCTGGAGCTCTTCATTCCATGTGTTACATTCCTTCTGCTTTAGAACTTCTTTTGACATTTTTCTTATGTATGTCTGCTAAGAACAAATTATCCTAAAGGCTTAATTTTTCCCCTCATTTTAAATGAATCATTCACTGGACATAGAATTATAATCTGACAGACTTTTCTTTTAGCATTTTAATGATGTTTCATTTTCCCTTAGGCTTATTTAGGTTCTGACGAGATGTCTATATGCACATTCTTATCTTTGTTTCTCTGTATGTAATATATCATTTTTCTTTGTCTGGTTTTAAGATTTTATTTCTCTGTCTGGTTTATTATCATGAGCCTTGCTATGATTTTCCTTATGTTTACCCTGTTTGTGGTTTATTGAGCTTCTTGGAACTGTGAATTTACAATTTTCATTAAATCTGTGTGATTTTCAACAATATTACATCAATGACTTTTTCTATCTCCTGCTATCCTTCTGGCACTCCAATCTTATGTATTTTAGACCACCTCATGTTATCCCACAGATCACTGAAGTTCTGTTCAGTTTTTCAGTCTTTTTTCCCCTCTATGTTTCATTTTGGATTATCTCTATTGCTCTTATTTAATTTCACAGCTTATTTTTCTCTCTAATGTTTAATCTACTATTAAGCTGACCCAGTGAAATTTTCATTTCAGATTTTGTATTTTCCATATTTATATGTTCCATTTGGTTCTTTTTCTATATTTTTTTACCTGCTCATTCTGTTCATGCTGTCTTTTTACATTTTTGAGCACATTTATAATAGTTATTTTCAAAAATCCTTGTCTGCTAATTTCATTATCTCTGGGTCTGCTTTTATTAACTGATTTTTCTCTTGATGATGAGTTCATTGTCCTGCTCTTTTGCATATCTAGTAGTTGCTTTCTGGCTGCTAGGTTTGGTGACTATTACATTGTAGGGTGTCTAGACTTTGTTTCTTCATTTAAAGAATGTTATCGAAACAGTAAAAATGTTTGTCAGACAGTAGGGTAATTTGAAGATCAAATTGTTTCTTTCAAGGTTGTTTTTAAACTTATTTGGGGCAGTTTATAATAACCTTTACCCTAGGGCTACTTTATCCTTATTAGTAAAGTATGACTCTTCTGTGGCCTCTATTCTAATGCCCGCAAAGTTTGTTCTACCCTAGCTGGGTGGAACTTGAGGATTTCTCAATCCTCTGAAAAGCTTTAGAGGTTATTTAGCCTATAACTTCCCAACAGTAACAGGCCCAGCGTCATGTAGTTACACTCTATGCATCTAAACTTTACTATTAAGCAATAGACTCAAGGGGGACTCTGTGCTTATTCTTGACGTGATTTTTCTGCATAGCTCTCTCCTCTACCCCCTCCCCCAACATTCCAGCTGCCTCCACTCACCCAAACCCTGATCTCTGTCTTTTCAACTCAGTGAACCTGGTACACTGTTTAGGTTCCTCCTATCTACACTGTGGCCTGGAAAGTGTCTCTAGAGAGGAAGCTAGTGTGATTGTAGGACTTCATTTGGTTCTCTTCTTACCTTTATCACAGTTCTGCACTGCCTGTTGTCTAATGTCTGGGAACAGCTGCATGATATATTTTGTCCTGATTTCTAGTGCTTTGCGGTGGGAGATCAATCCTAGAATCAGTCACTCCATCATAGCCAGAGTGAAACAATGCTGCCAAGTCTTTTTTAACCTTGCAACTGAAAAGTAAATTTCTGGAATCAATGGTTCTGTGATGGAAAAGAGTAAACCGGGGAGAGATTCAGAGGTAACTATATATAATGTTGGCTAGAAGTTTAAGAAATGCAGTATATTTGGAAATATTTTCTTCTCGATTTCAAAATAAGATTCAGTGGAACCATTATATTCATTTCTGGAAGTTTCTACTTTAGGTCACTATACTTCTCTGTACAATGAAGGCTAATTAGGCAGTGTTGCTAATGTTACAGTATTGTTGATTTGGGTCAATGGGAATAATGAGGCAGTTGCTGCTGCTACTGTTGATGATGAGGACAAGATTTATTTACACCTCTTCAATGAACCAGGCACTGTGTTAGGCTCTTTCCATCGATTACCTTTATTCTTTTACCATATACTGCAAGTCAGAAGTTGTGAGCTCCAAAAACTCAGGAAATTGAAGTCAGCTCCTCAAGCTCACACACTAAGAAGTGAACACTCTGTGACTACATTACTCCATAGTAACCCAGTAGCTGGATTTGGAGGACAATCTGAGCTCACCACCAGCGGTGCCCCCTTCCACTACTATGCTGCCCTCTGATGCTCTCTTCACCTGAGCTTCCCCATCTGGCAAATTGTAGTGGAAAACAGTTAACTCCTTGCCTGGGGAGGCTGTGCTTGTATATAGATGTTTTGCATTATTTTGCTTTGAATAACAGCATATGTAAATGTGCTCCCAGAGGTTAAAATTACCCTTCTTTTTTAAAATTTGGCCTCTCCCACTGGGGTAAATAGTTGAAAATTATGGGGAGGAAAAGGCAGACTGGAGAGAATGTGAGTCACATGGAACTGCTTCTCCTTCTCCCTCTCTGCCCAGCACGTATTTCTATTCAGATATAAGCTGTCATGGCAGAGTGAAGATTTGTACATTTCCTTTCGTGGCTTCCTCACGCATTGTGACAGTCAGTATCCAGCGCAGGTTCATCGAGACATCATTCATTAACTCCGCATCAGGAGGAAGTCCAGGGACAGATGTCCTTGCTGAAAAGAATAAAAGCCTCCTGTGGCAACTGGAGGACTTTACCTCACACGGTCTCCAGCCAGATCACAAAGAGATTCTAGCGAACCCGGGCCCTTTGCCACCTCTAACCATCTACCTCTTGTTCTGAGGTTGGCCGAGCTCCTGGACTCCAGCTCTCCCCTGGGTCCTGCATTGTCGAGCCCTCCCTATCTTCAACTGCCTTTCCTGGCATTTGAATCATCACTTCGATGATGTGATAATATCTGCAAGTTGGGAAAATAAAAGTGGCATTTGTTTAGCCATAATTAATGAAATATTTATGTTGCATGAGACTATGTGATAAAACCTCAGGCTTAGCGTCCTTTTGCTTCTGATTACATTTGGGATTTTTTTTTTCTATGACCAGACATTCTGACGCCAGCTCTTTTACACTGAGCAGATGTCATGTAGTAAAAATGGGTGCCAGATGCTGTGAGCCACAGAAGGGCGATTTGTTTAAGAGCTGGCTTGGACTTTTTTGCATTCAATTACTCTGCAGAACGAACCTTACCAGAGCATTTAGGTAACTCAGCTAACTTCAGACAAGCGTTTTAATAATAGATTTCATCGCTGAATGCGTTCTAAGCAACACACCATATAAATGGTGTTTAAGGAATTAATTGATTTCTGCATAATACCTTTTTTTTTTTTTAATATGAAAGGAGAGCTGCAAAGCTCTTGGCAGGGACCCAGAAATGTAATTAACATGGAGGGCCAAATTTTCAGTTGCCCTCAGGTACTGCTTCCTCCTGCTCATGGCAGGTGCAGTGAGGGAAGAGCAGGGAGGAAGGGAATGATGGTAAGAAGGGAGAGGGAGAAGGAGCTTTGGGGCACAAGGTAGGAAGAGAAGCTGGGATTTCAGTGAGTTCTTCTCTTCCCATTTCAGGTTCCAAACACATCCCTAGCCGAGGGCAGGTGACAGGGGCCGCCTCTTCTACTTCCTCCAGCAACTCCTCCTCTGCAGATGAAGGGTTTCATCCTCAGCCTTCCTTGCGGTCAAAGGTAACAACACCTGGCTAACCAAAGAAGGCCTTGGCTTGTGGGGGCCATTTACCCTCCAGGTTTCAGACCTGTGGTGGACTCCGGCTGCAGTGGTTTCATTAGGATCATGTTTCACTGCATCTGACAACAACCGCTTTTTACCTGGAACACCAAGAATGATCTTTTTTTTTTTTTTTTTAAACTTTTAGAAGCTTGCCTTTCTCAGAAACTTCAACCGGCAGAAAACAACAACGACAACAACAAACCAGACATATTTACTTAAAATCATTTGGTGACTGCAGCTCTTAAAGTGGGTTTAATATGTGGTCCAACAAGCAAACCATCGAAAAAATTTACAACAAGCAGATGCATATTTCCCTGGGGGAAACACAGCTTCATTTAAGAAGCACTAGAGGCAGATTGCATGGAAAATGTTATGTTTATTCTAATCAGAACTATGAAATGAACCATGCAGTTGCTTCCAGACGTGGGTACTCCAAGGGTCCCCGCTGTGGAAGGGTCTGGCTGCGTGCTGGCTAGGGAGATGGCTGTCCTCTTGGCTTCATGACCGTATTTCTGGAAAACACTTTAAGCAACTTCCATACCCACAGATTTTAAGAACACAAACATTGTTATGTGTCTTTAAAGACATCTGTGTGTCACAGACATGAAGACACATCCCATGACCAACCTCGCTGTTGGTTTCTTGGTCCACTGGGCCGGGGTATTTTCACTGGGACTGAGGGATGAATGGTTGGACCTAAAATGCTTCCCAGGAGAACAGAGGAGCAGTTCACTGTGCTAACAGTGTTTATTTTTTGGAGCAGTGAGGATCTGAGGAGAAGGGGAGAGAACCAAATTTATTTACTTAGACTCAACTTTTCCATATCTGGCATTAGAAGCTTCTGGCGTCATCTCAAGTCACTCAGGGGTTCCAGCTCCCCACGGCCCAGCTTAGAGCAAGTCAGGAGGGGGCTGGGACATGGCATGAGAGAGAGAAAGAGTGTGTGTGTGTGTGTGTGTGCGCACGTGCGTGTGTGTCTGTGTGTGTGGTGGGGGAGAGGGAGAGACCGGGTAAGAGGGAGGGAGGGAGGGAGGGAGGGAATGCAAATGAAAAAGAATATATATGCATTTTTCATTTCTAACTGTGGACACCTCTGATTAGTTCAGTACTCAACACAAATGAATTTGGTGTGTTATGTTGATTCCTGGGGTTTCTTTCCTGTCCCTCTCATCCCTTTCAGTGACCTCGAGTTAAGTCTGTATTCAAATGAATACAGGCATTCATCAGTCATGCTAACAGCCATTCCAACACTCGAGGAGAAGAAGAGAATGGAATAGCCCAAACACATCAAATAGCAAGACTGTGAGATCTAGGGCAAGCCTTGCAAGTAGCTCCTTGTCCTCCTGCTGGCCCAGAACAGAGCCTGTCAGCACTTAAACTTGCAGCGTGGAAAAGCTTGCCTGCTTCACCTGGCGTCTGACCACTCTTACAGGAAGGGAAGCCGGCCAAAAGTTATTTCTTTACTACTTCCCAAGGGCCCACCCTGAAGGAACAGGGTTTTTCTCCTCTCTTTACAGGTGTGTCTCCAGCCCCTTGGCACAGAGCTCACATCAGCTCAAATGAACCTTTGCTCAGGAAACTGGAGACAGGATGTGAACCCCTTCCCTTCGCTTTGGTCCTCCCCACCCTCTCCCTCCCAAAGCCGGGCGTGGACCTGGGAAACTGGGGCAGGCACTCGTCCTGGGTCCTGCCAGATCTCTCCGTTTCTCTGTCCTTTGTCTTTTTCCTTTGTCGCCCTGAGCCTCTCTCCTAGCCTCTCTCTGCTGTCATTGCCACTCTTGAGGATGTAAGGACCGTGCCCAGCTCATCATAAGACTAGATGAGCATTTGTGAACAAATCATCCTTCTTTTCTACGTCAACATCTTTTAATAAAAGGCAATAGTGGCTTTCTTGCCTCCTCTAGGTTCTGGTTTGCTAACTCTTGATAAAGCAGGAAACGTTTGGCAGCTCTGCTGCTTGAAGTGTTAACATGGTGTGGTGCTGTCAAGCCACCCCCCTTGAAATTATATTAAATGGTCTTAATTTAGGAGGAAACCTTGACATTTCTATAAGGCAGGGGTCCTTGATGTGCCTGCACAGTATTTGGCCTAGGAAAGGCCGTGTAGACCAGCTGAAAATGTGGTTGCCGGATTCAGGCTACATGGGCTTAACTCCTGGCCAATGACTAATTGTGCCATCTTTGGCAAGTTATTTTGGGCCAAGATTTGATTGCCTTATATTTATTAAGTATAATTCGAGGAATATATGAGCTAATACATGTGAAATAATCTGTGTAATATCTGCCATGTAGCACTCGCGACGTGCTAGGATTTATTATATAAATTAATATGATGGAAGTTCAAGAGATATTTGTGATGGAGTTAGGCAGTCTCTGGGCAACAACCACCAGGGTTTCCACCATGCCCCTCTGCCTTAACCTTTCCAGAAAGATCCTGGCTGTCTAATGGTGGGATTCCATTCCTGCCCCCCAAATGTCCCAGATCCTCTGTTCAGGGTGTTTGACAGTCAATCTAGAAGTTAGCTCCTAGAAATGGAGATGATATAATATGGAATAAGTTTCAGTTCTGAGAGCTAGAATTTCCTTTCAAGGATGAAAAAGGTCTAGATCCTAAGGAAAGTTCTAGAAAAATGAAATTTCATCAAGATAAACATTTTCACTGATGATCTGTAGATACTCTGAGGCCTCAGTGTTGGCTGATTGTTGAGGAACATGATGGTCTCCCCAATCATATCCACAGAATGGGTGACTAAATGACCAGGATCTGCGGGGCCCTGCAGCCCAAATGTGCTTTTCAGGCACAATCTCTGATCTCCATTGTGGACCTGGATTCCTCTGGCATTATCTGGAATACGCCTGTTAGGTCCATTCTGCCCTTGTGGATTTATACTCCCTTTAATGGGCAAACATCCAGTTCAAACACAGATACTGAATGCCCAGACACCAGGCTAGCTGTAACAAAATTTTAATTTCATAATTATTTCTGCCAGCATTAAAAAGAAATCTCTAGCATGCTCTAATCTTTATCTTAATATGTAGAAAGTGGATGAGTATGCTCCAAGAAGACAAAATGATAGTAAACCTAGCCCAAATTGAACATTTACTTTGTATACGTAGGAGATCTATATATATAGATATGTGTATCGATATATATATGTATGTGGGTGTATATCATATATATGCACACGTATATGAAAAATAATTGATTTTAGGACATTATAATCATGCTAATTTATAATACGATGATCTAATAATCATGTCACTAATAATAAAAATCATGGTATTTACGTATCTATCCCCTATCCTTTTCAAGTATTCTATGAAGGGAATGACCCACATTCTCTCAGTTAATTCTTATAACATCCCTACAAGGTAGGCATTCGATCATTTTCATCGCTCTGAAGTTCAGAAAGTTGTGCGGCAGGCCGAAACTCACACAGCTTGGCTGGGATTTGATGTCAGCTTTGCAAGGCGCCAGGGCCCAGTGCTCCACCAGTATTTTCTGCTCTCTTTGCAACCAGAAGTGTCTCCTCTGCTTTCCAGTATGTGGATCTGGCCATACCATTTCTTCTTCTTTGCTGGTCTTCCAAACCTGGAAATGACACTACCAAGATCCACATCTATTTTCAATATTCTATTCTATTTTCTATTTCACATTCTATTTTCAATTTCTATCTATTTTCTATTTCAAATAGATTTTGAGTGTTCTGGATTTATAAGCACAGGCATACACAAAATCCAGTGACATCAGTGACATATGGGCACAAGCAAAATAAAGTAGGAAAGGGAGCAATCTTATGGCTACTTTAAGCCAAGAAACATTTATATTAGAAATATTTAGACATATTCCTCTATTCCCAGATTTAATTAAGCAATGTAGACCTAACCTGAGGATTGTTTAAAGTTGTTAAATGGTTTTCATGTCATGTGTGTGTGTGTATGTGTTTATGTTTGAGTGTGTCTGTGTTTTCCTCTCAGGCTCATCCTTCTTGGTCCTTATGGTAGCACCTGCATAGAGTATAATTTTTGTGTTATTCCTTTCTTCAACTGAACCAAGTCAATTCTCTATAAAGCCCTTCTATGTATCTACATAGACACCATTCCCAACCCCAAACATACACACCAGTTTCCCAATCGAGCACCTACAAGCCACATGTGGCTATTTAAATTTATACTTGAATGCATGCAAATGAAATGAAGTTTAAAATTCAGTTTCTTATTTATGCTAGTTCATTTCAAATGTCCAGTAGCCACATGTGGCTAGGGGCTTGCATATTTTAGCACAGATACAGAAATTTCCATCATCGCTAGAAGTTCTACTGGACGTCATCGTTCTAGAAGCTAAGCAGTAGCTTGGCTGGAGCAAGTAGAAGCCTGTGTCATTATTTGGCAGGTTTTAACCCCATTTCTCTCACATCCATTTTTTCTTCTCTGTTGGTTTTTGTAGGAAAGGAAGACGCTCAGAAGAAGAAGGAAGCTGGAGAGAGCAACAAAACAGTTGGTTAAGCAAGAAGAATTGAAAAGACTTCATAAAGCTCAGGTCAGAAAACAAACTTGACTTGGGTGACTGAGCCTGGGGTCAGGGACCCGGCAAATGGCTTGGAAAGCCACTTGGAAGTCTCTGTTGTACTGGGGGAGATAGGCTGTGGGAAATTTCAGCCTCTCTTCTCTGAATGACCAGATCTGTGGGCATCCTAAAGGCACTGACTCAGTCCCTGGTGGGACCTTGGGGCCTGAGGAGCCCAGGTGTAGAGCTGGCCCACTCCCAATTGCCTTTCCATCTGCAAAAGTGTGTCGTACAAAGTGAGCCTGGAATGACCGCCAACACAGGGCCGTGGGAACCATCCCAAGCCCTGACTGCCGCATTGGCAGTGGACTTGGTCTCGTCCTCCATGAGGATACAACTTTCCCCTGACTTCCTGCCAGTGTCTCTGCTGAGCTGACAGCTGTTAGGAGCTGTCGCTATTCCAGGGTTTGTCGCAAACCCAGGCATCTAGCATTTCAATATATAGATTCCCCGTCTTGGTTGTTAGCACTAACATTTCTGCCCCAGTGGGTCTGCCCTCGTCTGTCACAGACAGGCAGAGGAAACAGAAAGTCAAAGCATTCCCCACGTCCCTGAGGACCCCAGACTTAGCCCTGACAAACAGCGAGGTTTTAGGACAGAAGGACTTAGGGTGACCACTCATATTCATTCAGTGTTCCTTTCTATTCCTTCCTGCAGTTGCCCCCTTTATCTGGCTATGTAGTTCCATTGAGGAAGGAAGCCTCTTAACCCAGCCTCCTTTACCCTTCACAGTGACTGACAAGGGAGCCACCCCTTTCACCCAACAGACAGGGAAAATCCCCAGAAAATCCTTCTGTCCCCTCTCAACTTCTGAAACAGCTTTCCTTGAAACATTGTAACATGGCCTTATGAGAGAATGAGCTGTCTTCATTCTGTGGCTTGGCAGATTGGCACTCCCCCTCCTTACCCGCTCCCTCTGGACCGCAGGTGGTGATGAGAACCACCATAGCCTTTGGGCGCCTCATCTGCTAGTGCTCACAGCAGCCCCTTCTAGTCCTCAAGATTTTCATCCTTGGCTTCCAAAGAACGGCCGCTGTATTAGTCTGCTCAGCTGCCGTAACAACAGAGCATAGAATATGTGGCTTAAACAACAGGAATTTATTTCTCATAGTTCTGGAGGCTGGAAACCCAAGATCAAAGTGCCTTCAGGACTGTGCTCTGGTGAAGCCTCTCTTCCTGGCCTGTAGACACTGCCTTCTTTCTGGGCCCAGCTGCAGAGAGAGATGTCTCTCATGTCACTTCGTCTTCCCATCAGGTCTCCAGTCCTGTGGCATTGGGGGCCCACCCCGATGATCTCACGTAACCTTAATTACTTCCTTAAAGGCCCTGTCTCCAAATACAGTCACACTGGGGGGTTAGGGCTTCACTATATGAATTGGGGGGCACGAAACAATTCAGTCTGTAACCACCATACAGCCATAAATGCATGATGGTCGGTCATAAAGTCATTTAAGTGTTTCCCTTCCATGAGTGATTCTATGTCATGCCATCAAGAGATGGATTCATAACAACAGAATTGTCTTTAAAAGAGAGACAGAGGGCATGAAAGTACAGTGGTGTTATCTAGAATTCCCATCGATTTCAGATTTTACATTAAACCCTGGGATGTGAACCCCCTTAGCTGGGAGGAGGAGAGCCAGGGGGCCCCTCAGGCCTGACCCCCGCTTGCTTGTCTTCATGGGGTTGGAGGTACTTCAGTGACTGTCCTCTGAATCCAGGGGAGACCGAGAAGATGTGCAGTTAAGGAGCAGAGGGGGTGGGACAGCTGCCGTGAGGTGAAGGAGGGGGAGCGCATACTTTCTACCTGCCCAGACAGCTGCTGGCTCCTCCTGTGTCCCGGTTCGGCCAGCTGCGAGGTCTGTTCTGCCGTGAGATCCGCCTTCTGGCAGCGTGATGTTTGAAACTGGAGGAAACCGATGGGGCACAGAATGTACATGGGGAAGTCTTTCCCCTCATTTTCCTTCCTAACACCGACAAGAGAGAAATAGCCAGTAGGGACACTGGGAGCATAAATGCAAACCCAAGTTTGACTGGTACCAACAGTGAGTCTACGGAGGGTATGAGGTTGTCCCTCACTGGGTCTTGTGTTCATCATCTGCTACTAACAGCCGCTGTGCACTTGCACATTAAGAGGCCCCTGGGTGTCAGTCCCATGGTACAGTGAAAGAAGAGGGACCGTCTATAGCTAAGGATGGGAGCTGGACACGCCGAGCAAGGTGTACCAAGCCCCGGGAGTTGGCCTGGGGTCTCCTGCTCCAGACCAGCTTCTCAGGAGGTATCTGCTGGCTCTTCTTGGCAGAATGGAATGTGACCATGCTCTGTGTTTACCCCCAGAACCGCGTCCTCTGAGTAGTTGCTGCCTGTCTGCGTATGCTTTGACTGTTGTCAGAGGCAAAGGCGCGGAAGAGTCTGGGAGCCATGAGAACAACCCACCTAGCCCAGCTCCTCTACCTAAGGGCACATCTGTGTGGTTGGCCTGGTCAAGGACGACCATTCTCACGTCTCCATGGGGGCAGATGGAGCTTTTAGACAGACTCCTTGCTTTATGTCGTCACACTATAGAAGGGAGACGTCAAGATCTTGTTATTTGGGGGGACACCTGGGTGGCTCAGTGGGTTAAAACCTCTGCCTTTGGCTCAGGTCATGATCCCAGGGTCCTGGGATTGAGCCCCACATCGGGTTCTTTGCTCACCAGCGAGCCTGCTTCCCCATCTCTCTGCCTGCTTCTCTGCCTACTTGGGATCTCTATCAAATAAATAAATAAAATCTTAAAAAAAAAAAAAAAAGATCTTGTTATTTGGGAATTCAGAGGTCCTTACCCAAGGAGAGACATCATAAGAACAGGGCCTCTTCTTCTTAAAAAGTAAGTAGCAGCCTGAGCCCCCCCCCCGCACCGCCCTACCCCGCCACATGACTGCGCCTTCAGAGTCCCTGTGTGACACACAATCCTGGCTTTGCAGGCCATCCAGAGGCAACTGGAGGAGGTGGAGGAGCGCCAGAGGGCTTCAGAGATCCAAGGTGTGAGGCTGGAGAAGGCGCTGAGAGGGGAAGCAGGTAGGCAGCCCTGGAGAGGTGGGTGTGGGCCCACGTCCATGGTCTGAGAATAGTGCTGGTCTAGCCATGCCGCCACCCCATGGAACCATTAATGTGGACATGTATCGCTGGGTTTCCAATATCAAACTGACGGTCCCACTGGAAATTCCTAGGGTCCTGGCCAACCTGTGGGCCTTGTACCTGGGTTTCCAGCCTGCCCGTCTCATCTCTGTGTGAATGTTCTTTGCAATCCAGGGGTGATGAGAAATTCAGAAGAACCACTGGGGTGTTCAGACAACATTGGTAGTGAATCAGAACCCAGACTTGGACTCAAAGTCCTCATTTCTTCCTTTTCTAGCCATGTCCATTGGGCCGGTTGCATCCTAAACCTTTACAAACTTTCATTTTCTCCTCTAAAATGGGGATATTTGTGGTTTCCTTTAGAACTGATATAAGGATTAAAGAAGATGTTAGATATTCTATATCTATATCTATATGCATATATAATAAAGAAAATGAATTAGTATCTTGTCTGGTACAAGAAATGGCAAGTGTTCCACCAATAGTTTCAGAATCTTGGATCCAAAGAGAATTCCTCTGGTGAAGACCTACCATGTGGGAGACATGAAGACAATGGGTCTATAACGACGAGCACAGCCCAGTTTCTGCCTTTGAGAGGTCCATGGTCCATTGAAGGATGCGGACATGTAAATAAACAGACTGCACCACAGAAGGACAGGGGTAGGGATAGGAACAGCATTCGGGGAGGAGGACATGGGAACATAGTCGCGAGTTTCCTCACTGACCTTGGGGAGAAGGGTGCTCAGGCTAAGCACATGGAAGGGGGGGATCCATGGTGAAGGAAACCACAGGAAGGATAGGAATTCACCTCTTCACTAGGAGGTGAGGAGATTGTTCTGGAAGAGGGAATGGCACCGGCAAAGGCCAGATGGGAAAAGATGTGAAGTGCCTCTGTGAACAAGGAGCCAGCCAAGGATTCTGAGGTGAGGGATGGCTTAAAGAGGCCTATGTTTTGAGAAGCCACCCCAGCACTAGCTCACGGCTAGTGAATTGGAGGGACCCTTACAGTTAGTGGGGGTGGAGTGG